TAAGCCCATTGCTTCTTGTTCAATCCTTAAAGGCTAAGGTGAACAAGTTTTCTCCCTCCTCCTTATGACACCCTTTTAGATACCTGAAAACTGCTATCATGTCCCCTCTCAGTCTTCTCTTTTCCAAACTAAACAAACCCAATTCTTTCAGCCTTCCTTCATAGGTCATGTTCTCCGCACCTTTAATCATTCTTGTTGCTCTTCTCTGGACCCTCTCCAATTTCGCCTCATCTTTCTTGAAATGCGGTCCCCAGAACTGGACACAATACTCCAGTTGAGGTCTAACCAGCACAGAGTAGAGCGGAGGAATGACTTCTCGTGTCTTGCTCACAACACACCTGTTAATCCATCCCAGAATCATGTTTGCTTTTTTTGCAACAGCATCACACTGTTGACTCATATTTAGCTTGTGGTCAACTATAACCCCTAGATCCCTTTCTGCCGTACTCCTTTCTAGACAGTCTCTTCCCATTTTGTATGTCTGGAACTGATTGTTCCTTCCTAAGTGGAGCACTTTGCATTTGTCTTTGTTAAACTTCATCCTGTTTAACTCAGACCATTTCTCCAATTTGTCCAGATCGTTTTGAATTATGACCCTGTCCTCATCATCTAAACTTTGTCTGAACCGCAACACTTCCGGGCAGCCCTGGAAGCTGAGAGCCCAGCGGCCCTCAGCTGCCCTTTATCCCAGACAAAACATCTGAAATGTTGGCAACTCTGAAAAACTGGAGGTGAGATTTTAAAGAGGAAAAAAAAATGCTTTCCCTTTATGCTTTGTTAGCTTTGATATTGGTCACCGTGTCAGGCCGGCATCAGATGTTCTTCCTGTTCACTCTCTCCTGGCAATATCCTTCCCCCCCGAAATTCAGCCTCTGGCTAGCCTGTCATACCGCTTCTGGAGGGGTGTTATTGTTTCCCAGATGCCTCATACTGCTGAGAGTCTGGAGCTGCCTTTCTAGTTTAAAGGGACGACTAGAAATGGATTCTGATGTATTCTCCAATCCCTTCCATTAGCTCCATGCTGAATATTGATTTCCTCAAGAAAATACAAACGCTTTAAATATCTACCCTTGATTTATAAACCACATGGCAAATCTTTGAGAATAAGCTGTATAACATTTGTTATTCAAGAGAGCAACCAACAGACATAGACCATCAGAACCCAGTACGTGTTTCTGCCTCATGTGAAGCAAATCTCGCACTTTCATATCATATCAGCTAGGCGTCACCTACAGACTGTCTGTCTTCTGTCAGCACCCTCAAAGGAGAAACACATTATTCCCATTCAGATCCATCGTGTACAGAGTATGTAGCATTTTCACTGATGGATACAGACTTGACAGGTAGATGTGTCTTATTAGGAAGCCTTCAAAGCTTCAGTTCCTCATGAAGTCAAGTGAATTAATTTGTACCATGGTGGTGATGAGAGTCCTCTGGCATCAATCAGTGTATTTCATGCTCATCTTGATATTCGCAGCTGTTGCAGTTGTTGGCCAGGTTGACACTAGATCCTTTTAGCTGCTATACTAGCGGGCCACATATAGGCCAAAATTAGGTGTGGGATTGTTCAGTTTGCTTCTTCTCTTCTTCTTCTGACTATTCAGCTTGCGATGAGTCCCATTTCTACTGCTTGGTGAAATGCACCCAGAGATCCCAGGTGCTTGTTGAGCTCAGATTTTTTTTTCTATTAAAAAATGAAAGAGAAAGAGGGAAAAAAATGCCCCTGTAGTTTGAATTGGATTCTCTGGCCCACTCTGTCCTCCGAGGACAGAAGGCCTGTATAGGTCATTGGGAAGGAGGTACTAATGGTGCAGAACAATTTTGGTTCCAACTCGCAGTGCTGCAGAGAATATTTGTGGTTTTTTTTATATTCATTATTTGGATTTATATGTGTCTCCGTTGCTCGTACTCGGGCAGGAGATAGTCAGAGGTTTAACCTAAAATGGCAGAGCTTTTCCAACAAAGGAGGGAAGAGGAGAGCTGGCAGGTAGAAGAATTTCACTGACCACAGAATGTAAAGACAATAGCCCTGCTGGGGCCATCTGGTAACTGTAAAGGAAGTTGTGTAACACATCCTGGTGATCCCGTGGGAGCAGGATGACTAGAAGCATGGAATAATGGAGCCAAATTTTGCTCTGATTTAAATGACTGTAAACCTGGAATAACTCCATTGACCATTTACATCAGTGTAACTGGGATCAGCCCTGAGGAAACAAAGAGAAACTAATTTATCCTGGATTTAGTGCAGGTGAACAAGGCACGGGTGGTGGGTGGTGGGCTACGCAGAGTCTGAGGAAAACCAATGAGCAGGATTTTGACTGTAAAAAATGAGGGAGGGGTTGCACACAGAGGTGGTGAGCAACTCCTCAAGAGACTTGCTCTGCTGTGGGCTGAGGGACCAGCTGAGACCTGCACAGTGGCTAGCATCAGGATAGTGAGTCCGTGGGACTTGTGGCACTTAGGTTCAACCGACCTCAGGTAACAGGGATTGTACGGTGCTGTGTATGAGTGGGTACTAGCTCCAAGGAGGGATCCTTTCTGTTACACACCTGCTTCCATAGGCGCCAACTCCATGAGTGTTCTAGCCCCGGAGAACCCATGGAAAAAAAATAGTGGTTGCTCGGCACCCACCAGCCACCTGCCAATCAGCTGTTCAGTGGCGGGCGGGAGGTGCTGGGGGAGGGGGGAGATGGGGGAAGAGGCGGAGCAAGGGCAGGGGTGTGCGAGGGGGTGGAGTGGGGGGAGGAAGAGGCGGAGTAAGGGTGGGGTCTTGGGGGAAGGGGTGGAGTGGGGATGGAGCACCCACCCAGAAAAATGAAAGTCAGCAGCTGTACATGCCTCATAGCTGTGTGTGTGTGGCTGTGCACAATCTGTACTAATTTTAAATGATAGGTATGTCAATAATGTATTATGGGATATCCCTAGCGACGGGTGAAAATGCAAGTGCTCTTTCCAGAGTAGTAGCACACATCTGTACCTACTGGCAGCCAAGGGGTTGTCAGGGATGGTACGACAGGGCCCAGCATTTTAAAAATGAAACCCGCTCCAATATCTGACCCCGATAGAGAGACAAGGAAAAGAAAGCACTGCCGACAGGCTCTAAATCGTCCCATCACTTACAGCTGAATCAAGTTATTGGCCCATTTACCTCCTGCATTCCAGCAGTCTGATGGGTATTTTGGATTTATGCTGTGCTGTGGAGTTCACATTCGGAATTAGCAACAGTAGAGTTTTCACCATTGCGTTTATTTATGCCTAACATTAATGGCTTTGATTAACACTTCAGGGAAGGTCCATTTCAGCTTTTGGGAGACCAGTTGGCCTTTGCTTTCATAAATCCAGAAGGGTAAATATAGTTTGAAAAAGAAAGTTGTGTGATACTGGTTTACAGATTATAAACATAGGCACATTTAGGGGTTTTGTTTGTATCTTTAGCAGTAGCATATACAATTAAATTATCTTGCTTCAAGCTCTCATCCATACAGAACATTTTTATGCAGCTCATACCTGGAAAGCGAATAGCACTTTTTTCCCGTCTGTGGTTTATATAAATTTGGCTTGATGATGGACATTTACAATAACAGTCACTGGTAGAAATTTCTGAAATGCACTCCCAGGATGGCATTTCTGTAAATTGCCGTTTTATAATGTGCATGCAGATAATAGTCTGCCTACTAATATTGTAGCTACTTTGCATATAGAGAGAGCTTAGTTACAAGTTAAAAAGCATTTAATTGTTTCGCTTTACAATCCTAGCTACTGAGAGTCAATAATAAAAACTAAATAGAAGAGAGAAGAGAAATTGAGAGAGAAATCTCAACGGGAATATTTTTATAATTAAGATCTCAAACTGAAGGAGAGCATCAAACAGCTCGATCAGTATTTATAGTGATTGTGTAGGAAATTGCTTGTAAAAAACAAACAAACAAAATGTTGTAAAGTAAGGACAATGCTTAAAATGTTATCATTTGTGGCTAACCTGCACATAATCTGGCTAACCTGCACATTCCGGCTGTTGTGCCACTGGAGAAGGGCATGCAGTGGTTAGTTGCCATTGTGTTTGCTGTTCGGGAATGCTGAGGTAGGATAAAAATCAGCCTTTTCCTGATTTGTTTTAAAAATAATCTGCAAAAACAAAATCCTTGGATGGACTTTAGTGCTGGTGAAAGCGGTGTGGGGAAACCGAACAGGAACAATATGGGTGGTGAAAGCTGCTTCTTCTAGTGATAGTCCCTATTGTATTCCACTGAGGGTTATGCGCATGCTTCCCTGTGATGTCTTGCTAAAGAACCTCAGAGCTGGATGGAACCGCTCAAAGCGGGAGAAAGTAGTTGAGTGTCCCATGGCTCAGTCAGGTGCTGATCCAAAGTCCACTGAAGTCAGTGGAAAAGCTTGTAAGTTGTTTTTTCCCTGTGTTTTTTTGTTAAGGTATGTGGAAATAGTCCCATTGGCTTCACCGGGCTTTGGGTATGTCCTATCTGAGCAGACAGACTCCAAAAGCAGTCAGCTATGTCCTTGTGGTTTTCTGTGTTATCAACAACTATCCACCGGGAACTGGGTTTTATTTTTTCCCTCTGATTCCTTAGTAATGTCAACACTTGGGGCCAGATCCTGCTTGCCTCAGTTCTGCTCCAGAGGGCTCCTTGCGCAAGCAAAATGAGCAAGATTATTGGGTGAGACATTCTGGTGAGGGTGGTGTATTGGGAACCAATGAAAGAACTCAGCAGTGTCTCTGAAGGCTTCCCCAGTGTCTCTGAATGCGATGTGCAGTGCGAATCCCAGACCGCCTGTCAAATCGCGGTATCAAAGACTGGCGACCTTTGAAGCACAAGATACAAAAGAAAGAGAGAGAGAGCAGAGTGAGGAAGGCACGTCTGAGGGGAAAAGTGGCTTTGTGGCCTGTCGGCTCTGTGTCTTGTAAAATGTTCATTTTTCAGCTTTTCTCTTTAAAAAAACAAAACTTTTCATTCATGATTCTCTGTTATTTCTTTCCTTTGCAGGGTACAGAGAAGGGCTTCTCTGGAAGAGAGGACGTGACAATGGGCAGTTCTTAAGCAGAAAATTTGTGTTATCGGAACGGGAAGGCGCTCTGAAGTACTTCAACAAAAATGATGTAAGCATCTGGGACCACAGCACAGTCACCAGAGGTTTTGTTCATGTGGGTTTGTCTTTGATCAAACAGTCCCCCTGGAACCATTTTGTCATAAGGAGTCACTAACTTTTCAAAGATGCCAGGTCGTTTATTCTTCTACTGCTCTAGGAACGAAAGCCCAAGGCCCAGATTTCTAAAAGTATTTAGATATTGCTGGGCTCAGTGGTACAATACTGAACTGATTTAGGAGCCAACATTTCATCTTAAAAGGGGATTTAGGCATTTAGGAGGCCAAATTCCATCAACTCTCAGTGAGAGTTTGGCTCCTAAGTGCCTAAATCCCCTTTCAAAATGATATTTGGGCTCCGAAATCAGTTATGCATTGCAACACTGAGCACAGCAACATCTAAATACCTGGGCCCACCTGTGTAGAGTTCTGCAGCTCCCTGATCCCATCATCTTTGTTTTCTGAGAGCAAGAAGTTTCTCTTGGCTCTAGCTCTGCGATGCTAGATCATAAGGAGCCGCCAATCCTCTCAACATCAGTTTTATGCCTGCGGCCACACTGTAGTGGCGGCAATATCACACAACAGAGGAGAGGCTGCAGGCCCACTGTGGTGTTTGGATAGCAGAAGGAATTTGAAAGCCTACGGCAGCTGCAGTCCTTGGTTTGTAAACTCCAAGGGCACAGAGGGGCAGACAGTGAAGAGTTCTCCTTTGGATTCTGAATGCTCCCTTAAAGACCATGACAAACAGTCATAAAGGAAAATGCATCTGGTTTTTTATATTTCAGTGTCAGGCTAGGAAGTATTTGTCTTCTTCTCAGGAGTGGATCTCATTTATTGTAAGTGAAACGTGGAGCCATTAAAAAAAATTACATTTGTGATGAATGGACAGGAACTTTACTGTCATGCACTCACTAAGCAGAGAAATCCAATGTGCTTTCCTGGCCTTTTTGCATAAACCCAGCGGTGCCTTGCCGTCCTTGTGAAAACCTTGCACCTCTGTGGGCCCCAGTCAGTAGGGAAGAGAAGCTGATTTGCCACCTGCCCCACTGCCTGCTCTTAACACATAGCTGTGCTGGATAGCTCAGTGGTTTGAGCATTGCCCTGATAAATCCAGGGTTGTGAGTTCAATCCTTGAGGGGGCCATTTAGGGATCTGGGGCAAAAATCTGATCTGTCTGGGGATTGGTCCTGCTTTGAGCAGGGGGTTGGACTAGATGATCTCCTGAGGTCCCTTCTAACCCTCATATTCTATGATGTGTCTCTGAACAGTATTCTGTGCCGGAGGCAGCGCTGCCATTAAACGCATGATGGTGCAGCTAGTCTGTATGAATGCTGGATGAAAGGATGTGGTGAGATGTGGACACTGGACATTATTTTATTTGTTTTACCCCCAAATCCTCTCGTTAGTTTCCCACACTACAGTTCTCCTTCTCACCCAAGTAGAACTCTTGTTAATGTCAAACCCAGGCAGTGCTGCACCCCCCTCTCTCCTCCCCTCCTCTCACAACTCCCCCCCACAACTCCCCAACCCCAATCTTGGTCCTTATCTGTAAGTACCGTTGGGCCAGTTCATTTAGTGGTGTCAGGAGTGACATTCAGATTCAATACTAACCAGCCGATGCATCGAAACAGTGTCACTTTTAATGCTGATCCCTCTCCCTCGCGCCTCAAGCATTATCCCTCTGCTCCCCTGCAGCCTTTTTTTAATGTCAGCCTTATTTCCTCAATCCTAGGATTTGCCAGCCGTTTTGTGTACGGGCTTAATGATTGTAAGATCTTTCGTTAACAAGCCGTGGGCAAAAATTCTGTTAAAATAATAGTGGATCGAACCAGCAGCTGTCTTTTGTGGCGGCTTGATGAGCGATGGCGTCATGGAGAGGAATGGTAATGGAGGGAGAGACATCTCTCCCGGTACTTTCTCCTCCATTTCCAGTGGCTAATTTAGAGGGGTATTGCTGTCGTCATCTCCACCACGTGCTCTTTGAGGCAGTCCTGGTTTGTGGATGGGAGAAATGCAATCACAGCCTAAAAGGAAGTGAGAGTCTCTGGTAACCCAGATGAAGTTGCTTTTCGTCCACTCCAGTGGTTTAAAAACTTCTTTCATGGTACTCAATGTGACGCCAGCACCAACCACGGGTGTGATGGGAACCATATTGTCCACACACTTCCACCCTGCTTGGATTTCCCCACCACCTCTCGTATCCACATCCACTTCGAAACCACAGAAAGGCTGCATGAGCACAGGGCTGCATACTTGTATTCGCTGTGAGGTGGGGACTTACCCTCTGGTGACTGGGATACAGGAGCTCAGCTAGTCTGACCATATGCACATGGTAAAAATCAGCTGCTGTGATCCTAGATGTACTCCGCTCCCTGCCCAAAAATAATTGTGGCAGACGGCGCATCTCACTCAAGCAAGTAGTTGTAAGCCAAGTCATGGGAAAAGAAAAACCCCTCACGAAGCCTGTCCACAGAGATAGCGATGTTCATAAATCCAGGATTTTGGTTTAGGCCCATTCTACCAGGGTCCATTTCTATTGGGCCTGCTTGTGTATTCTGTCATGGCTGGCGGGCTGGCTGCCATCTCCAAGGCATATTAGATATATTTGAAGTATTGCCTGTTCGTTGAATTCAGTACAAGTATCTTAGGCCACCTACAGGAGGTGGGAGCTGGTTTGTTTTTCTTCTTGGCTGTAGGTGGAATGGGCTCTCACTTGTACAGAGTAAGGGCATGTCTGTTCCTTCTGACTCTAAAGCCAAGGAATCCAAAATCATCACCAGTCTCTCCTCTGAAGGGGCACTTGGCTATTTTGGGATAACTTTGATCAGGACCCAAGTGGTCCATGCCATGCTGTATTTGAGCCCCCTGTGAAAAATGGGTGTAATGATGCTTTCCTACTTCACGAGGGCCTTGGGAGGCTTATTTCAATAAGCACTTAGAGATCTTCGCCTAGAAGGGGCATTGGACAAGGGAGTATGACTAGTGTAAATTCACTGTTGAAGTAGTTGGGAGAAGAGATTACAAAGAATGCGAACCAGCCTCCTGGTCATTGTTTCTGTTAGAACAAAATAGATACAAACTGCTGGCCAATTTCCACCGCTGAATAAACATGGCTTCCAGCAAGTTTAGTGGCTGTTCCACTCTTATGCATCTAATCACAGGGCTTAAAGCACTTGGCACCTCCAGCCAAGTGTCATAAAAACAGTCTCCAGTTTGTTCCATCTTCATCACGCCAGCGCAACCCGAGAACTGAATGTTTATCTGAATGGTCAGAAGGTGAAGCATGAAGTAGAACCGGTCTATCTACGTTTGACCTTAGACGGCACTCTGAGTTACCATGCCCACCTGAGGAAAACAGCAGCTAAAGTTAAAACATGCAACAATCTTCTTAGCAAACTGGCCACGTTCGTCATGGGGTGCCCGTGCTCCAACTTTGCAGACGTCAGCGCTTGCCATCTTGTATTCGGTGGCGGAGCACTGCGCACCAGTTTGGAGTCAATCGTCACACACCAAACTGGTGGATACGCAGTTACATGCTGCCATGCGTGTCATCTCTGGCACCCTGCGTCCGACTCCACTCCCATGGCTCCCAGTTCTGAGCAATATCGCTCCTCCTCATATCAGATGAGAGGTTGCCACTGGCAAGTTACTGGAGAAAGTTCGCGCCAACTCAAGCCTGCCCCTGCACAACGACCTTTTTAAACCACCAGCTGCATGTTTGCTGTCACGTCGCCCATTATGGTCTCATCCACCACGCCAGGACGTTAGGGCAGGAATGCTCTGGCGAGAGGAATGGATCTGTTATAATCCCCAGCCAGTCCCTCGTCGCCGACCCTACAATTTGCCCGCCTGGTTTTGACCTGCCCCATCGCCAGTGGTCCCTGTTGAACAGGTTCCAGACTGGGCAAGGTCTCTGTGCAGCCAACCAGTATTGCCGGGGCCTTCATCACAGCCCTTTGTGCAGCTGCGGCGCGACGCAGACGATGACGCATGTTGTCGATAAATGCCTGCTGACTAGGTTCCGCGGTGGCCTGGAAGAACTGCATCACGCCACTGAAGATGACAGCGCTTGGCTAGATGACCATGCACATGCTAAATAAATAAAAGCACTTACAGGGCAAGATCCTTGACTGACATCAGTGGGGCTACTTTGATTTGCACCAGCTGAAGTTCTGACGCACGGTGCATAGCACTTTTAGGGCCTAGTTCTCCATTGTCTTACACCAGTTGCACCCAGTTGTAAGTGAAGGGAGCTACAGCGGCATAAAACCAGTGGTACCAAGTGGACAGTAGTAGGGTCCTTAATCGTCAAAGGGCTTTATTCACCTTCAGTAGCTAAATCCACAGAGGGCCCCTTTGGGGCAGGTTAATTGTTAGACCTACTTCATATGAGTGGAACCTGTGCTACAGAGGTTCAGTGAGCTGCCTCGGAGGGAGTCTGTGTCAGTCCTGGGATTAGTGCGCAGGAGGTCCCAGCTCCCAGACTCCTACTTAGACCTAATCCGTAAAACAGATCTCACCAGAGAAATAAATTATTTTCCTCCTTTGCGAGGGTTGGAAAGTGCTCGGCTGTCTCTTGCTCTGCCCAAGGACCTCCCAGTGTGGGGGCAGATCAGAGCAATGTGAGGAGTTCAGTTAAAAGCAAACAAATGTGTTCGTGTAGGAGAGAGAGCATGACCCGTGTGGAAACTGGCACTTTGCGTCCGGACAGATAGCGTGGCAATACGAGATTCATTGTCATTGGCAAGGGAATAATGTTCAGTTCTCCCAGGCCAGCAGTGGACTGGTCCAGGATGCTTGGGATGCTGAAAGCATCCTGGCCTATTTGGTAAGTGGTCTGTATTTTTTGCCTGGCTGAGCACATTGGTAATAGTGCTCAGCCAGGCAAAAAA